ATGTATGTTTTCTGAATATTTGTGATGGGGAAAAAGAAAATTATGTTTTAATGCAAGGATTAACAAAAAAAATCTCGTATACAATAGAAATAAAATATATTTAAATGGTGACAAATAAGAAAATGGTTGACAAGTAACGTTTCAATAGCGGTCTGTGAGACCGCTGTAGTGGTTTAAAGGATAATAAATAAACTCTGTTCGGTTTCCCATAAATTCATACTTATGAGAATTTGTGGCGACAATGAACTTTATGTTTATTGTTATTTCTTTGTCCGTTGACATTTTCCATGAAAGAAACGAATCGTAAAATTCGCAGGACGTAATAATTATTTTAACTGTAGACAACTACACAAGAAAAATCAGGACGCTGCTGGGCACTACCATAAGATCTTTCTGGCACTTTGTTTGTAAGCCATAATTACTCCGTTTTAATGTGTTTTTATGTATTTTCACACATATGTCTTACAATATAATTATTTTCTTTATTTCATTATTATTTATTTCATATGATCGATAATTGAAAATTGTTACTTGGATTCAAGCAAAATATACGTAATCAAAATGCAATGTTAAAGTAGCGTCCTGATATATAAGAAAATATATTTCTAATATTATAAATAATTTTGAATGTATTATGTATAATTATGTTGAAAAATTTTGCATAGCATATTTATATAAACAGACTATTTTTAATTTCACATTATAGAAGTACACGCATATATACTAAATAAGCGACTACTAATTTATCCTTCAATGATGTCATCGTTAATTTTGATTGGCAAGTAACACGGATATGTAGCCTGCTGACGTTTTTAACAACTGAAACATTTGATCTTTTAATATATTAAAAGTTTAAAATATTAAAAATTTGGTAAAAATATATCTTTGAAGAATTAAAATACATGCAAAGAGAGAGAGAGAGAGAGAGAGAAACGTTTCAAAAATATTATTTGATTCGGATAAAATAAGGAAAAGATTATTGTATATTTTAAATTCACATAACTCACATTGCAAAACATGGACATTGTCATCGGAAATATTTTCCCCGCTGTAATATTGGGTGGTTTCTTTGTACGGACCATAATTAATGTCAAGTTTCTTGCTATCTTCGGCTCCAAAGTGTACCATACGTACTCATACGCAGCGCGATGTATTTTTTCAGACTAAAAAATATTTATTTTGTTTTATATATTAATTTTTGAGGTATTAATTTCTCGAATGGAAGAGAAAAAATAAGATTAATTATTTAAAATATGTTATTTTATTCAGAAAAGCATTTGATTTATTGAGAATTAAATCTATTGATTTATAATTAGAAAAAGAGAGAGAGAAAAAGAGAGTACGATTTTACTGCAAGTATAAAGACTTAAATTTGCGGTAATTTATTACACGGCTTTAATATCATATATTAAATAAAATTTATATCTTTTGAAAATTATGTGACTGTTGTTAAGTAACTTTCGTTTAGAATTAAAATTATAAAAATAGTTTAAGTTGCAGAATTAGGATATTCGTCTTTGTACTTATTATTATTTAAAAAAATCATTATACTCACTTGAGTTACGAGAAGTTCACCGACCACACAATAAAGACACGTGTGCATTAAAACGGTTCCACTTTCGCAAATATACCAAACCAATTCCACAATTGACAAGTGACCACCTTGATTAACAACCTGAATTATGTTAATTATATACATTATAATTGACATTGTATCATTTTATCGTTTTGAAAGTTATTGCAAATGATGACAAAATGGTTAACCATCTATGAAAGATGACTTTTAATCATTGATACATTTGGATAAATATCTCTTGCAACTTGTCAATTGTATTATTTAATAATTAGCGATATTTACTTTAAAATGATGTTGACAATTACTTTTACTTACATTAATTATGAGAAATCCGTGACAACAAAATAATATCCCAAAACAGAATAAAAAACCGAGCAGCATTAAATTAAATGTATTATCAATGATTTCTATAGACCTGCAAATGAAATATAATGTAAAATAAAGAATAATGCGTGACTTTTACATGTTATGTAAAACGTTGATATATTTTCTATAAAGTTATAACGAATTTTAAATTGTTCATTCAAAGGTATTTAATTCTAAATTTTAAATGGCTTATTCTCCTAAGAAATTTTTGTTATATTCTGATGGAAAAATACTATTGGACTTATAAAAAAACTATTGAAAATTATTAGAAAACTATTCAAATCCAGTATTACATACTATAACATGGTCCAATAGTTTATTCATTAATCCAATATTTTTTTCACAAGAGTAATATAAATTAAAATTGCATTTTATTTTTACAAAATCAATCTTTAGTAAAAACAATTCTTTAACAAATTTCTTTAGAGAGAAGATTAAGCCTGATAGATCTATGTTTGTACATGATTTATAAACGTTTTCGACTCAGAACCTGATCAAACGAATGTGATCTTTTACGTTGTATTTTAAAATCGTTTTGAAGTTCATGTCCTTTTCTAAATTCACTAGTCGCAAATGCAAATTCTCCATCTGACCGCATATATGTAAGATGAGAAGTCCAAGAAAGTTGTCGACTGCGGTGTAAGAAAAGCCGGATGCAGTCACTCCGATTACTTGCATCAAATATGTTAATTCGAAATTCGGGCTGCTGGATATATCATGCAGATAGTATGTTTGGATTGGCATTCCAGGCTTCCCAATCGGATCAGTGAGATTTGTCAAATGTCTGAATTGCCGGCCAAAACACAATGAGCAGAATGTTATTAGCAATATCAAAAATATCATGACTGCTCCACATATGGAAAGAAAGCGAGTGATTCTGGCTTGTTTTAACATGACAATTCGCTCCTCTTCCATTTTCGCTCTCAACCAATCTTTCACCATCATGTCAATCATCGGCGATAAAACTAGAAAAGTAATTTATATTTTCAAAATACACACGTGTGAGAGCATTATTTTCTTGTAACATTGTCTTGATATTGCATTTTTAGCTTAATTTGCGGGCATTAATAATACATTTTTTTAAATTTGTAGTTTCTCAAAAAGTAGTAAAAACATTTGCATATAATGAAATAATAAAGGAGAGAGAAGTTTTAAAAAATCTGAATTAAATAGATTGGTTAATAATAAAATACCTCTTTTCTTGTACCACATGATGAAGACTTTCAATACCGTTATCAAAAGAGGTAGAGTATATTTTAAATTATCTATCACCAGTACCATATCTCCCCATACTTTTATCAGTGCCATTAAGGCCGGAATGGTTAATACGAAAATCAGCATAATGACATTTAATAGCAACCGAAGCTTCGACAATATTTCTTCACGCTGATCTTTGCTCTCTTCCGGCCATAAACCGATAATTTTCAACATGCGACGGTTCAGACCAATCGCCCATTCTAAATCTATAAAATCAATAATGTAAATACATAAGAATCATTTATTTAAATATCAATTTATACTATAAAACTGTGTTTTTCCATAATTTTACATATTAAAATATTATAAGTAATATATTTTATATTATAAAACGCAACCCATTTTTTACAACTTTACTTATTAGCTTTACGTATTGTAAGACTTCTGAAAATTAAAGGCAATATATACACAATTATACTTTCAGTTGAAAAGCATTTAATTTTTTAAATTAAAATTAATTGATCACATATTTTTATATCACTTTTCATAAGAACTCGTGATCGACTTAAAAATCTATTGAATACATGAAAGAAAGAAATATTGAAACGCAGAATACAATGAAACATTTCGTGAATTTTGACGCTAAAATAAAAATAATGTATTTATTTTCTAATTATTATGTTGCAGGCGCAACACGAGCAAATTGATTTGATGATGACATACAAAAGTATTATTTATAATGTGATCAATAAGACATCAGTTGTTTGAAGCGTCGAAATTTAAAATGTCTTATTGCATTTCTTGCTTTCCAATATACCCTTTTCTTCCTTATTAGCAAGCATTTAATACATTAATCTTAAATTATAATAAAGATATTATTTTAAATTCAAGCTAGTTTCGTTAAAATATTTAACTAATAATAAAACGGAACACCGTTATATCCGCTTGGACGGTTGGTTAAAAGATTACTGATCTTGTTTCGTCAACGATATCATCCCCACTTTCTGAACATTATTGTCACGCATGCTTGTAACGACATTTCTCAAACGTGATACATTGCACCATCGCGCGTCATGAATATCTCAATGAGAAAGAACATGCGTTATTATCGTCTGTCAAACTGTTCATTCGACGAAAGGGTGTGTTGTATAAATTATAATGGGGAGCCCGCAAAAACGAGCATGCAAAGTTCGTTGATCGATCGAAATAACGAACGTTTTATATTGTTTCGTATTTTTTTTCCATCTTGCGGAGAGCCTCGTAATTGAAGGGTCGCGTGAACGCGTGTGTAGAGGAGAAAAATTTTTTACGCCTGTAGGAGACGAAATGAGCCAATCGTTGAAAATTTCAGAAGACCCGTGGAAAGCGCACAGCTTGTATGATACTTTTTATGTTGCTAAAAAATTCCGTCGCTGAACAAGAAGAGAATTGTCGTTCACCGGACACTTTGACGGTGCATTGTTAATGAATCTGCTGTAGCTGCTGATCGTCTTCACCAGGCAGTCGAGACGTAACCACGTAACGAGAATGATAGATAGATATACGTGATGGTGACAATTTGTCGTTGTTAACACAAGTTATTGTGAAAAATTATTATACGCGCGCGAAAATTTATAATAAATAAAGAAACTTTAAGATCGAGACATTTAAAGACATTTGGAATGCTATGCTTTTCGAATATCAGTGCTACAATTTCTTTTTCTTTTATCAAGATAATATAGTGTACGGATTATGTAAAATGCAATACAGTGTCAAGAAATGTCGTTTTTCATCTTTGGTTAAAAGATTATTGATGTTACTTCAACGATATGATCCCCACTTTCTGAACATTATTGTCACGCAATGCTTCAAACGAATTTCCTCAATTTACGTATCCACACCGTCGCGCGTTGTAAGTATTGAAGTAACCAAAAAGAACATGCGCTATTATTATCTTGTCAAATTAAGTGTTTATTCGACGAAAAGGAATGTTGTATAAATTATAAATTTTTTCAATTTCATGATAAGTTTTTTGTCCAATTTAAATAATTCTTAAATTATGGTAAACTACAAACAGAAGAATGAAAATTTAAATTTCGCCATGAGTAATAGTTCCGCATTCACAGTTCTTTTATCTATTTTTTTCTCATTAATATATACAATTTTTATCATTTGTTTAATATATTTTTAGACGCAGTTTAACAAAATTAATTTAACAAAATTAATCCACTTTTGAATGGTTGACAAATTTAGCAAATTATACATTGAAAGATAAAAGTTGTACATTTCTTAGAATAATATAATCATTGTGAAAAAAGTACATTATTTCCAGTCGTTGAAATTTAAAGTGCATTGCATCTCGTATTTCAATTTATTCCTTTTTTTACAAATAAATATTTAACACAGTTTAACGAGTGAGACAATGTTTACCATTTAATGCCGCATTTTTAATTATAAATATAGAGGGATGTTATTTTTCATCAACAATTCATCTCCATTTTTTGAACATTATTACGCATGCTACTAAAATTCAAACGTGGTACACTGCATCGTCGTAAATATTTCAGCAAAGACATGTGCTATGGTCGTCTCGTCAAAGTGTTAGTCATTCGACGAAGGGCATGTATAAATTATAATGGCGAATGCCCACGAAAACGAGTATTCGAAGTTCACCGACCAGTAGAACTGTATTTTTTTACATCGTTTCGTTTTTTTTTCTTGTGCTGCTGAAAACTTCGCAGACGGAGAGCCGTGTATGAGAAAAAAAAATTCTTAGGCTCGTAATAAAGAGAAACGAGTCAAGCTGTTGAAAATTTCACGTAGCAAGTGCACGGTTTCGTGAATTCTCTTCGCGCTGCTAAAAAATTTCGTCGCTGAGAGAAGAAAGAGTTGCCGTTCGTTGGACATTTTGGCGGTGCATTATTAATGACTGTATAGCTGCAGGCTGTTGTTTCAATCAGCCAGTCGAGGTGTAGCCACGTAACAAGAAGGATTGGAAGAAATAAGTGACAGTGACAATTTGTCAACGCTAATTCGAATTATTGTTGAAAGACATAGGTGCGCGCGTATTTATGGCTTAAATAAAAACTTCAATATTAAAACGCTTAATGTAGAAAAATTATTGTTTTTCAAATTATTAGTGTGTATGTTTGTGTGTGTGTGCCACGGTTTTCTATTATCATATGCCATACGAGCTACATATAATACGGACGAAAAATATGGAGTGTCAAAAAATGTAATTTTTTATCTTCCTATACTCTACGATAGATTTTTAGATCAAAGTTAAACAATATTTAATTACCAACTGCAAAAGGGAGAATGAAGATTAATTCTGCGACGAGATATCTGTTTTGCATATTGACGAAGCAAATAAAAAAAATGAGGATAATTTTTATGACACGTTAAGAGCTGGTTCGGCCGGATGTTGGAATATGATTCTGGCAATGTGATTTTATCCAATCCTCTTGTCTCTGTTTACGAACCTCACCAAAGGGGAGAATAAAATTTTGACGACGTCGTTAGAAGAAGAATTTCCGAGGCGCGTGTAAAATGTCCGTAACGATACAAGGTGCATCTTAAATTCTGAAGCCGCTTAAATTCTAAACGTCAAATCTTAAATTACACACAAAAAATGTTACCGAGATAAATGTTCTTTTATTCATGAAAGGAGTTAGTTTGGTTCGCATATGCCCTCGAAACAATATATTTATTCCACACATGTCGGTTTCTAATACCTTTTCACAGCAAGAAATACTTCGTGAATCGCGTTCACGGAAAAATGTTTTTGCGATGGTGTAACGTCACAAAAATGGCATTCATGAAATTTACATTTGTCACGCGTGACGATTCCGAAGCGCGGATACGTGAATCGCGTGAGTGATTTTTCAATGTCGTGCTTCTTATGCAATACTTATCACACCTTGTTCTTTCGTGGACTATTTTTAATTTACACACCTACGAATATTGGGCCGTTAACACACAGTTGATTAGTGAGAATTTATTTTTACATTCATACTGGAAGTATCAGAAAAAAATTGTTGAAGAAAAATGAAGGTAAATTGTTTTATAATACAAACACGGACACGAATTATGTATATAGGTATACGATGATATTGTTGCTGACTTATTAAAACTCTTTTATTTTATGTAGAGTCACAATCGGAGTACACACAAAAACTTATAATATTTAATAAACCTCGCGGGAAATGAAAAGGAGATGGAAAAGAGAAAAATGTAATTCTTTTTGTTTCTTTTATTTTACAAATCTGCGAGTTTTGATAAAAGCTGCTTTTTTCGCATACGATTATTTAATGCGCTGCTATGACCAATGTGAGGTAGGCTTTCGTGTTGGCAGCGAGGCGAATATTGACGGTGCTTTTGCTTGATCCCAGCGTCGTCGGTTGATCGCATACTACCGCGTAGCTGCCGCTGCTGTTTATCACACTAAAGTAATGGATAGTTTGTCCTGCACAAGGAAGAATATTTAAGATCACTAATTGCTTACCAGAAACCGTATTTAATGTTCTTTAATTATGTATACTTGACTAATAAATTAATAAATGTTATATTAATAATTGACTGTATGCTTTTATCTCATTTAGGAGCATCATTTTCCTCAATTTTTTGGCGCATACGCTCAACGTTCATGGCAATCGGAACCAAGTTACATAGACGTTTGATAATGTTTCCTTACTATTAGGGAGAGTCACCGATAAGGTAATTGAATGAACAGCGTTTGTTGGATTGTTAACGTCGATGTCTCGGCGGAAGACTATTTCGTCGGGATATCTTGATCCAACTTCAAGATTTCCGATGAATCCAGCGGCAGCATGTGCTTCGGGCACGAAACTTTTCTGTACAAACATAATATATAATAAGGTATAGATTTTTCTAAGAAATTTTTCCAACAATACTCATCAGCAGCAAAACTTTCTTTTATATTTTTATAGGAAATGGATATACATAACATGTATACGGATATAACAAATGGATATATGTATATAGCAATATTTAAATGTACAATATATAAAAATATTTATCTACATATTAGATTATAATTAATATTTAGATTATAACGATATAATATTTAATTAATTTTTATATAATAAGTCTCTCTATAGAGAGACTATAGATAGGATACATATCTATAGATTCCTCCCTAGATCTCGTGTCACAAGAACTGATAACAATGTGTATAAAAATAAGAATTTAAATTGATACATGTCGTTTTCTTCTGTACAAAATATATTAAAAGTAAAATAGATTTATTTTTAATATATTTTGTACAGAAGAAAACGATATGTATCGATTTGAATTCTTATTTTCATACACATTGTTACCAGATCAATTTCTGGACTTTAACTTCAAAGAAATTGACATAAAAGTTTTTAATGTGTATCTTACAGTTTGTACGTTATACTTTTTCAGTGAAGATTAAATTTAATTTTAGAATAACATATATATCAGATTATTTAATTTAAAACAAAAATAAATAAAAAAAAGGGCATTAAGAGTCAACACGCAGAACTCGTTGCGTAAAAATTTTCCATAAAAATTATATTCAGAATGTTGGCATAATTTACATTTTCTTACATATCTCTCGTATATTTTGGCCTTCTTCAGGCTTTTTGCAGCGATGAATACAATAATAAAGTTACTCTGAAATCAAAATTATTCCGCTCCTAAACATTGCAGAACATCGTGACGTTTAGGAGCGGAATAATTTTGATTTCGGCGTAATTTTATTATTGTATTCATCGCTGAAAAAAGCCTGAAGAAGGCCAAAATATACGAGAGATATGTAAGCAAATGTAAATTATGCCAACATTCTGAATATAATTTTTATGGAAAATTTTTACGCAACGAATTCTGGTGTTGATTCTTAATGCCCTCCTTTGAATTATTTTTTATTTAATTTTAGAAAAACTTGTAATTCGTATCAGAATTCAGGATAGAATTCTATTTATAATTATACGTATCACACGTGTCGTACAAAAAATTAGAGATATATGTACACATGCACAAAACATCAAAAATATTACTCGAGAAATATATATGTAATAAATTATTAGCTCACCAACGCCGTTTTGGGCACGATATCCTCCTCGGTAAAGACGACATTCTTCGTCTGCGACAGGTCGAAGGCGGTGGCCGCCTGCAGGAAGCCTAGAACCGCGAGCGCAACGACGATCGGACGCGACATTTCGATACGGTTTGATCGGATCGCGAGGTGTGTCCGTCTCTTTTATAGGGCGGCTCGAGTGATGCGCCAAGGTGAGCGTGCCTTATCTGCACGGCTCTTTTATGATTTCCCCATCGACGATGGCCCTACCGCGCGCGCGTTTCTCCCCCGCGGAATACAAATAAGAAAAACGCGAACGCGATGGAGGCACGTATGTACATATGTATGCCGTCCGTCTGGTTCGCGGGGCCGTTCGTGGTCGACGAATTCTCGCGGACGACCCTCGAAAAGAGTATCGGCCGTACGATTGGTATTCGAGACGAGCGTTTGATGCTCCAGGTGCCAGTAATAAAAATACGCTGTTTTTTTTTATTCGAGTCCTTATGGAAGCTATCCGCGTGACTACGGCGAAAAAAAAGCGGAGCTTTCAGAGTCTCACGATCGCTTATTCTTTGAACTCGCGAGCTTATCGATTCTCGGAGAACCTTTTTTACCTTCGATCGTAAAAAACTGAATGTAAGGAAAAAATATTGAAAATGTAAAGATTTATAATTGTATTCCCAAAATAAAATTATTAAATATAATGGTGACATACATAAATATGTATATATAAGGAAGCATATAAAATTTGATAATATCATATCTTGATATAGATGATCACATAACATATATAATCGGACGAAGTATTTGATCATATATTCGATATAAGAATTTTCAAGTGAAATCAAATATAATATTGATTACATCTGTTTTTACCTTTAATATACTCGTACGGAAGAAAATGATGTAGGTCGATTTGAATTTTATAAATAGATATCGTTATCATTCTATATAGATAATCTATGGAGAGACTTATTTATATATAAAAGTTAATTAAATATATCATTACAAAGTAAATCTAAATTAATATTATAAGGATAAATATTTTTATACATTTAAATATTATATACTATAAACATCCACTTTGCTGTCAAAATATAAACAGACAAAAAAAATTTTTAACAATTTTATATAATTATATATATGTCAAATACGATTATACATGAAATTATATAAAGTCATATAAAAAAATAATAAAAGTTATTAAATTGTATATAATTATATATAAATTTATTTGGCTACTTAAATCGTGTATTTTACACACACACAAAATGCACAATTTGAGTAACCAAATAAAATAACAACATATAATAAAATCAAATAAAAAACTATATATATATATATTCGACCATTCGACTACGAGGCATATTGAATTAGACGTGTAACCAAGTAAAAAAAAAAGAAATATATATATATATATTTATTTGTTACACGGTCTAATTCAATATGCCTCGTAGTCGAATGGTAGGACGCCCAAGCACCAAGATTCAAGTTCGAATCGTAACTGAGATGATATTTTTCACAATAAATTCTTTTTACATGTTTGAGGAGGATTTATAGATGCTTGTTAGTATCAAAAGTATTAAATTGCTTGTCAATTTAATTTGTTACAGTGAATTTCGACTACATGTAAAGAACTGTGTTTTAAGACCACAAAAAGTGCGACGTGCAGTTTGCGTATGGCTGGATATTGTAACAATAAAAATTATTATACACACTAACATTCTTGTCGGCTCGCATTGGTATTATTTTGTTATCTCTGATTTATTCTTGGAAGCTTGTGAAAACTGTGATAACATCTTTTTTAACGTATAAATAATAGTAAGTAGAATTAGACTGCATACTTTTTTAATTTACATACATGTTTTAAGTAATTCAAATGTGTTCGATTCAATTATTATAATAAAAAAATTACATCCAAATATTTAACGTTTTTAAAAATTCTTTTATAATCATTTTGGCAAAAGCATTTTTATTAAATTTATTTTCGGTTTTAATATAACAAAATCAAACTTTCAAATGGAACATTTCAAACTCAGATTATACCCTCGGAGATACATACTGATGATATAAGATATAGTAACTTGCTAGATTATTTTTGATTTTACGAACTTTATCAATATTAATTGTTTCCTGTGGATAAGATAATAATAATATCATCAGTAAGATAATAATAATATCATCAGTATAAATAGTATCTAATTATGTAAAATGTGTTAAAAACATCTTTAAAATATGAAAAATTAAATTTTATGTCTAAACTAAAAATAAGATGAGAAACGCCAAATACAGTCAAAACGAATCTTACAATTCGTGCTTTAATAATATTTTGTACAAATCTTATAACTTTCAGTTCAAGTAAACAGTGTTTTGAATATAATTGTCAGTCTTGAAATAGAACTCTAAATTGAATCCGAAATACATAATAACGTTGCAAATTAAATTGACAAGCAATTTAATGATCGATTTATTGAGGCTAATAAGCATTTATTAAAATCTGTAATTTATTGTGAAAAATATTATGTCAGTCAGAATCCTGATAAAAAATTATAAAAAATTAATTTGATTACTTTGATAGTTCTCATTGTTAAAAATTTTACGATTTTGGACAACTTTAATTAAACTCCAATCAATTTATTAAGTAATCTTTGTATTATTTTTATTAACATAAATAGAATAATTAATCTTCTTTCTGTTGTTTAACATATAAAAAGAAAGATTATCCAGAAATCATTGATCGAATCGATGTCGTTTAACATTGATTCTACTAATTATTTCTAGCGGACTAAATTAAGAACGATGAATTGTATAATAATTTGAACTTTTACAACAATTAAACTATTCTTTCCTGCAATTGACTCTATATATTTTTTTCGGAATGGGAAGAAGGAAGAGTCTCTCAATTTGATGTTATAAGAAATACATAACGTTGCAAACTAAACTGACAAGCAATTTAATGATCGACTTATTGAGGCTAATAAGCATTTTTAAAATTCTGTAATATAACTTATTGTAATAAATATGTCAGTCTTAATCCTGATAAAAAATTATAAAAAATTAATTTAATTATTTTGATAGTTCTCATTGTTAAAAATTTTACAATTTCGGACAACTTTAATTAAATTCCAATCAATTTATTAAGTATAATCTTTGTATTACTTTTATTAACATAAATAGAATAATTAATCTTCTTTCTGTTGTTTAACATATATGTAGAAAGAAAGATTATCCAGTCAGAAATCATTGATTGAATTGATGTCGATTAAAAATTGACTTTTATACTAATTATTTTTAGCGGACTAAATTAAGAACGATAAATTGTACAATATTTTGAACCTTTACAACAATTAAGCTATTCTTTTCTGCAATTGACTCTATATATTTTTTGGAATGGGGGGGTTTCTCAGTTTGGCATTATAAGCTGGACCCCTCATTTTAAGGCCCACTTTGATCAACTCCGATTAATTTAATCGGACGATTAGTCCGTTAGAATTGATCAATCACACTTGTCATTTTGCTTAACAAGAAATGCGATTGATCAATTCCAATGGACTAATCGTCCGATTAAATTAATCAGAGTTGGTCGAAGTGGCCTTATAATAGGTGTGATATTCTATTCTATTTAATTCTTGAGCGCGCGCTGACGTGAGCGCAAGCGCCTTCTACTGGAAGCGAACCGAATCGAATCGAAACGATGACAAGCAGTCGACGGTCAACACTCGTGTAAAAATGGCGCTCGCCGACGTTTGTGGCATCAACTCCTCCATCGATTTCGGTTATTCGCGAGAAGAAGAAAAGATCACGAGCCAGGTCGAGACGTATACCAGAAATTTCACCAACAACCTGCAACTGGCGGTGCCGCCATTCATAAACGTAAGTGTGCAACGGCGATCATGATTCAAACTTGCAGCATCATGCCAATCACACGTATTTCGCGACACTCAAATTACATTTACAATCCGTCAAATTATCATGCACAATTGTTAATCACGTCGCTGCAGTTATTAATCGATATACTAATCGATAATAATTAAATTCTTTGACATCTTTTACGATTTTCTTTCAATATATAAATATTGCATATTTCTAGGTTATTTTGCTGCGAAATTAGGATAAAAATCATTCTCTTTGAATTAATAACAGAAGCCAGATTCCTACAGAATTATATTTTATTTTATACTTAAGTGCTCCTATGTTAAAGTGAAATATCTTGTAATCTTGAAGAGTTTAAAAATTACCTTAATTCTTTATACGTATCTCTTTGTATAGCCAGCTGAAACTCTTGGTCGTATAGCTCAAGGCACTGATGAAACTGGAAAAGGTCTGAAGATCAAATTCGATCATGGTACCACAACTTTGGGCTTTCAGTATCAGGGCGGCATCATTCTGGCGGTGGACTCGCGTGCAACTGGAGGACAGTTTATTGGTAAGGCGTATTGCATATCTCAACTGTTAAATTATTTATATATTTATGACAAAAATCGACTGACTCTTATCTCGTTCCTTAGGCTCGTCCACCATGAAGAAGATAGTAGAGATTAATGATTATCTTCTTGGTACTCTGGCCGGTGGCGCTGCCGATTGCGTTTATTGGGATCGAGTGTTGGCGAGGCAGTGCCGCATGTACGAACTCAGAAACAGAGAGCGCATCTCCATCGCGGCAGCGAGTAAACTCTTGTCGAATATGATTTACAATTTCAAAGGAATGGGACTGAGTATCGGTAAGATACTCTGCAACTGAGCATTTAGATGTGCATAGGATATGTGAGGATTCACATATGGCAATCTCGCAGGTATGATGCTGGCTGGATGGGACAAGCGCGGTCCTGGACTTTACTACGTCGATTCCGAGGGCACTCGTACTCCGGGGAAGGTTTTCAGCGTCGGTTCTGGCTCCGTGTTCGCGTTCGGTGTACTGGATTCCGGTTACCGATGGGACTTGACCGATGAACAGGCCTATGAACTTGGAAGAAGATCGATTTACCACGCCACACATAGAGACGCCTATTCTGGCGGTATCATAAGAGGTCGGTTACGAAATATCCATATAAGAGGTATTGTAGCGTGATTTTATACAATACTGCAATGCCTTAGATATACATTTTACTTTACAGTGTATCACATGAAGTCAACCGGATGGGTGCACATCTCGGACGAAGATTCCAAGGATTTGCATTATGCGTATTGCGATGAGAAATTAGCAGGAGCATCGAGCACCTCCTCCTAGATTTAATTATTAAATATATACATTGTATGTGCAGATTAATCGTTTATGCAATAAAACGAAATAATTTCTATTTGTGTAATTTATAATAAATCATCATGTAAAAGAGAGAAGATTTATATAACGCTTCCATTACTATTTTACACTCTTAAAACGTTGCAACATCCATTTGTCGTGGTAATCAATATCTGATAAATAATATTAATAATTTGACTTTCAGTTTTGTAATCGAAATTAATCAAATATCTAAATTTCTAACAGTAAGACGTTACAATTATAAAAGAACTCAGAAATTATTAAATTCATATTTTGTGATGTAAAAATATAAATTAGTTATTAAATATAAATGTTAAAATATAAAACTATTAAATTCATATTTTGTAATGTAAAGATATAAAGAGCACAAATATTTCAGTACCCTGACAAAATGTTTTGTAATTTTAATAATAAATATACATATAGATTAAACATACACATAAAAATAATATTCAAGAAAATTAAGTGCGAATTGCACTTAATTTTGCCCTATATTTCTTATTAACGTAGATCGTTACTGCCGCGCATATGCTCGCCGTCGTGCGTATGTATTCGAGACAAGGAAGGCAGAGACCGCGAGAGCATATAAACGGCACGTATATGTGGCAACCCCTTCATCTCCCCTCCCATCATTTCGCATTCGGCAGCGCGACGCGCACGACGGCGTCGCGTCGGAACTTCGGAGTTGAATGCCGCTATCGGGCGAGAGAGAGTGCGAGTCGTGAGAGGAGAGCCACGTTAGTGCGCGTTCAGCGACTTCAGCGTTGGCGTTGCAGTGTCAACACAATTGAGCGGTACTCGGTAGCATATTGCGACGGGAATTCGATCGAGGCTCTGATCGACACGAGGACAGCGGGATGTCAAGCGGCGCGGACGAGTGCAGGCTGAAGGGCGGTCATCCCCCGGCAGGTTAGCACGAGATCTCCCTCGTCCCCGCCCTGCGGAAACTACGCGGGAAGACGGGATTAGGGCCGCGTACGCGGCCCGACACGGGGCTGCGACGTGCCACCTGTCGATCGCGATTTCCAAGGTCGGCGGCCTTTCGCCCGAGCTCTTCCGTTACTTATTCCCAAGTTTCCTAATGCCGCGCCGCGCGTCTCTCGCGCGACTTTTGCCACTTTTTTTTTCAGTCAAGGCGGGCGGCATGAGGATAACGCAGCACAAGACGCCGAAGGACGAGCGCGAGACGAAGCCGTCCAGCAAAGACGTCGAGGAGAGCAGGCCGTCCAGCAGGTGAGGTAGATCCGCGATCTCGATATGCCGCGACGAGATCCGTGACGTGCTAAAAAGCCTTCGTCCCGATTGGGTGATCCGCGGTTTCTCTCGTTCTCGCGGCGGCGTCGAAAACACGCAGAAACGGCCGCAGACGGCGGCTCGCCGCACGTAGGATCGGTTTGAAGAGATGGCACATGGCGAGGACGGGTCGGACATGAATGGAAAGATTTAAACGACGTCCGCGGATTGAACTCTTCGGCAATCTGATACTCATGATCAATACATATGTAGGCGTATTTAATTCTGATATTCCCACGATAGATGTAGTTTATTTATTTTATACGATTATTGTTAAATTTTTACTGTCTGTCACTTCAGCGACAGTGAAAATATTAATCGATCTTTGCTTCTGGATTATTTTTCTCTTTAATCAATAAGCCTAAGAATCAATCAATTCGATATTCTCAGATCAATCTATATCAATCGATAAAATAATTATTTGAAACGATTGATAAATAACACATATTTCTTTTTATATAATCATGATCTTTTATTGCCTCTATAAATTCTTTAAAACTATGTATTAAGTTGTTGCTTATATTTCTAATAATTTACATAATTATTCCCCCTGGGCCTCCGCAGTTACGAAACCGATCCTACCTACGTACAATCCGGCTCGCGATATATCAGACGTATAAGTACATCGTCTGTTTTTTCTCTCTTTTTTTTATATTCTTAGATACGAAGTGAAAGAATTGCAAGACATAAAAAATTTAGCGCGACTCTGAGTCGCTTAATCCATTCCTGCACGACGCCAATTTCTGACGATAAGCATAATTATCGGCGCTTCGCATTTACATAACACCAGTGTTGCGCAATCGAAAATAAACGTGAGTAACATCTGAAAAAACATTTACACAGAGAGAGTCGAAAATATATTTATACGAAGCGCCAGACGAAGATAGACGAATTTAAGTATAATTTGACGACTCTAACCACACGCAGTGCGAAATCTCAAAATATTCCTCTGAGCTTGTAACGGCAAATAAAAATCATTTCCTTCCATTTCTGAGTTGAGAAACATGTAACATATGTTTTCGAGATAATTTTCTAATTCGGTGACATCAATCACTGTTTGCAACTGATAACGATATATCATATCATTCGTAAAATGTTTGCTTAGCAAAGCATGATACCTTTAGTCATCCGGTATTAAATCGTCGCAGATATCAGTGCATCGCTATATCGGTGTTGTTTGCGACAAAAATATCGAAGAGACAAAATAGTGTGTCCCCAATCTTTTTTTTCAAATATATATATAAATATATATAAATATTTGAAAAAAAAAGATTATATATATATATAAAAGTATATCACAAATCAGTATATATCGGTTGCTCCAGAATTATTTTCAATTACTATTAACATTTTCGAATGCACTTTTCATATAATATACGTACAATTGTCAAAAGCAACGCAAAGTTATCCATAATACAGTGTTATCCTATCCTCAGTCGTACATAGAAAATGAGAAGAGAAATTCTGATGTTTGCAGTCCGCCGAAGACGATAATGATCAGCGGCGCCCCGGCCAAAGGCAACGCAGATTTCCCGCCGGAAGCGGTGCAACACTTCCACGAGAAGCCTGCACCGACGCACGACGCACGGCCGGCGCATTGTTCGCGTCCCATTATCATTCAGCAGCCCAGAAAGTGAGCCGTACTTTGCGAGCTGTCCGCCGTACTAGTGGACCTTGGTCCACAGTCACCCGTTAAATTTACAAGGAAAAAAAAAAGAAGATTACAATTATACAGATACATATATATATGGGAGATAGGTATATATTATATACATAAGCGTACTTAAACAAGTTTTTAAAATTGAAGAATTTAAACTTTACGCGGCAGCGTTTGCACCGCTCGATCCTTGATCCTTTAATCGATGATTATGATCCTTTTTTCTAATAAGGCACAAGAAAATTGTAAATTTGGTTCAGAGAAAGAAAGCCGGGATAAATTCACGATTGCGAAAGCTATGAAAGATGTTAACGAGCTGGGACGGGGGTCCATTTTTGAGAATGAAGAACGGGCAGGACCCGCGTAAACCGATCGGTTAAAGGATCGAGGAAGCTCGATTTTTCTCGTACGCTGAAATATTAGATGACCTCAGAGATATTACTATATATCGTTGTTAAAAACAAAAGGGAAAAAAAAGTTTATTTTTAACGCTATGAGATTTCTTGTATCGGCATTTAAGATTCTAACGTACGCGGGCTTTCGCGAGTACGTCTCCGACTCGTTATCGCACGTTTCATCTTATCGTTCCTCTTATACCAGACACGATACGTTCGCTATGATTGCATTACCTACGATCAAAGTATTGTTGTAACGTAGTTACACGATACTATCACTATTTTGGGGACCAGTACGTACTGCGACTCATGACGGAACTTTCACATTCAGTTGCATTCTCAACTTTCGGATCTTTTTTACTTTTCTCTTTGTATCTGTCTGATCATAGCATGGAAAATCAGCCGTGTCAGTATCGCTTTGAATTTCAGGGAATCGAAATACTTTGTTAATGTGAATTAACGTTAACACAAGTTAAATGTTAATATATATACGTTCATGTAAGCGTGTAAATGTCGAGCGAGATTCGCAGTTGGCGAACAGTTTGTATAACATTTGAGAGGGAATAAACATATATGTACATAATCCTGTGGATTGTGCCTTAATTATCTTCTTGTGTCGAAATTATTACTCATAAAGTAATGTAGTAAATAATTCGAAATGACATTATTGTAGTTGCAAATTGATATTATTTAAGTAGCCGAATTAATATTTCATAATACTGACTGTTTGTTAGTATATATATTTTTTAAAATCATTGATGCAAGAACTGATAATCGTTTCGTAGGAAAATATTTATTGGACATATAATAAATTAATAATAAAAACTCAATAAAGAGCCGTTAACAGTGTATAGACTGTACAAATTAACATGCGGGAGATCTGAAACTAATAACAATGCTAAATGATACTAAATGATGTCAAGTTTTCCTAAAATCCACAATACAAGATTAGAAAACGCTATTGACTTTTCTCAGACACGCTCTGTTGCTCTATGTAACCCCGCAGAGTCTCAGAAATACTCTGCACACCGTTGGTCACATGGGTCGGAGTCTCGGACAGGAATTTCATGCTCGCTATAACTCCCTTATTCCATGACGACTTGACGGAGTTGGAGAGGTCACTGGTACTTGGCAATGGTGGTAGCTACGTGGCAATTTAATAAGCTCTTTTTAAGTGAATTCAACAAAAATGTTGAAACAGAGAAATTAAAATGATGCAAAACAGAAAGCTGATAATATCGTGTCACACATACAAATAAAGAAAACACTGTATGACTGTCCAATCTTTGATATTAGAAAAATCGATCATTTGTTCTGGATGATTGTGATCGGATCTTAATGTTGGACATCAAAATCGAACGGTTACATTTGACGTTAAAAGTGCTGTGAAACTATATGTCAAATGAAATGAACCTACCTCATTGACGATATTGTCAACCTCCTTGGGGATATTGTCCTTGACGTAAGGCGCGACATTATTGTAGAATCTTCCGTACAACTGCACGCTGTCCTCAGACTTGGACCACAGGCCCTGCTGAACGCTGTAATAAACGACACCGCCTACGAGGGTGGCCTTGACGGCGAATCTGCAAGATATAACCTCTCGTCGTGATTCGATTTCGGCTCGTCGAGCAGCGCAGCATGCGAATACCGTGACAGCGTGTCCTCTCTACTCCTCAGCGAATGTACTAACCGCGCGATGCCCATTATTCGGTCAGAAATTACTTCGACAAAGTGAATTCGATCCGAAACGCCTCCAGTCGAATACCCGCCTTCCTCCTTCTCTTTTCGTCGGCCCTGGCCTCTGAATTCCAATCCCGGATTCTCGGCACCAAAGGGGTTATAGGTTATGTACCCCCGCACAGACCATAGTCGAGAGATGGATATCGATATTCGATATTATCGACTATTCGATATTTTTTTTGAATTTGAAACAAAACAAAGTATTGAATAGAGAATAGTATAAATATAATATCGAATAAATACCTTAAAATTATTCAAAAAACGAATGTTTTTTTTTTAAACTATAATTCTGTTTGCATTGCATGTACTGCAAAAGTTTTTGAGAATTTCAAGCAACGCGAACAGACCTAATATCTTCATTCTCTCTTTTTTCAATGCTTTTTCAATGCTTGAATATCTCCAAATCGACCATATTAGCCATATTTTTTATTGGCTGCTTCATTCAGAAAACAAAGCCGCTCCATGATTTGATATTACAATTGGTTTGTAATGTTTAAATGTACGTACATTTAAATCCAGCAGAAAACTAAAGACAAGAACCAATTGTATTAAAAAATTACTCATTGAGCGCTCATTGAGCGCTTAATTTTCTGAACGCATCCATTCTATGCACTATGTATTTATACGTATTAAAAAATATAAATATAAAATTTAGAAATTAAAAATAGAAATAAAAAATAAAATATATTTGTCTCATAATGCTCTATGACATGTATAAAATTTTGATAATATTATGATAGTAACACAATTATCTATAAAAAGACAATTAATTAGATAATAAACAAAAAATTGTTAAAAATATAATAATAATAAATAATTATATATTTATTATTATTACATTGAATATTAAAATATTTATTATTGTTATATTTAAGTTGAAATAAGGTGAATGTAGCACGGACACGCACCACAAATTGTATACCGGCGGTGCAGAAAAGTGAACGTTGCTATGTAGTTTATAGCCACTTCGTCAGGAGGCGGAATAGACTTTCCGGCGTTGTTTGTAAAACACTTCCACGCAATGGAAGCCTGCTGTTACTCCAACCAATAATTTCACTTTTTTTCTATTAAAACCGCATTAAATCGCGGTTCGGTACTGTAGAAGTTAATGGTGCGGTTCTCGATGGCATTGAATTATTTGTCCTAGTTTACTCTCGAAGTCTACGATTGACAATGTGGTCGACAGAGTATGTGGAGTTGAAGGTATCGGAAACGCGTGATTTTTGTTTAGAAAAAGATGATAAAGGGTGAAATAGACGGTGTAGTTTTTTTTTTCTTGTCATTGCAGCGTATCGATGAGTTATTGCAATGCGGGATATGCTACGAGTACATGGACACTTGTGTGATAACCTCCTGCTCCCACAGTTGTGAGTAATGCTATAATAAAATCTCGTTGCACACTGTGTATTCACACTGTACACTTGCACACGTACATATATCCTGTATCTTGTATTTTCTAGATTGTTCCTTGTGCATTAGGAAGTATCTGCATTACAAGACCCAATGTCCAATTTGTTCCGAGGAAACCTTCGAGAAGGACTTGAGAAAGAACAAGCTCTTGGATGAGATTATCATGCATTATTTGAATTTTAAAGAGAAACACGACAAGAAGTTTCATCGTGAAAAATTGACCGCCAAGAATGACAATTCTGGAATGATCTGCTCCACAAACAATTTTGCGTGCAAGAAGGAGCAAGATGTTTCCGATGTGACGGCCGAGGTATCTCACAAAAGTTCTGACAGTCCGACACTCGCAGCTGGTAATACCACACCGCGTAGACGAAAAGATCATCAGCAAGATGTATCTACTCCTAGCACCAGTACAGATCTCAGGATACCTTCCATGTTTACGCCAAAGAGTAGAAAGGGTCTTCAAAAGGAGGAAGATCGTCGAGTAGTTACATGCCCAGTGTGCAAAGTGGAGGTGTCTGAAAATAATATAAATAGGCATTTGGATGATTGTTTAAAGAGGGCGAACACAAAGGATTGTCCTAAAAAGTAAGCATTTATTTGTATTATTCTCTCCAGCTTAGAGAAAAATTACTATAATCTATATATATCTGTATATATCTGGAATATCTTAATAGTTTCTGAAATATTTTCTCTAAATAGCTTCGCTTATTTCCAGAAGCGAACCAAAACGCAAACCATTGCCAAAGTTAGTGTTAAGTTTAATGAAAGATAATGTCATACGAAAGAGATTAAAGGAATTGGGCTTATCATCTCAAGGAGACAGAAAAGTATTAGAGAATAGACTACAGAGATACACAGTTCTTTTTAATGCAGAATGTGATAAGACGTATCCAAGACCTGTATCGGAATTAATTAAGCAATGTGAAGAAGAAGAGAATTTGGAGAAGAAAGTACAAAAACCGTTAAATGTAAATCTATTATATTATCAGTTCTTGACATTTGATATATCTTGGAACTTTTCTAGATTTTAATATATTGAATTTTTACAGAGACTGAATGTCAACAGAAATACAGAACATAATGTTATAGAGCAACAGAGGAAAAAATATTGTAAGTATTCTCAAGTATTATTTGCAGATTGGTATAAATAAACTCTCTTAATTTTTCTTTTTTTTTCTTATTTTTAGTGACTACGAACAAGGATAGTTTTGATCAATTAATTGCAAGAGTAAAACATGACAGTGATCCACAAAAAATGTGTGTTAGACGCAACATATTAAATGAAAAAAATTTTGATGCACCACTTAATGATCGTGTTGCAGACAACGATTCAACTATCAAAGATTGCCAGAGAAATAATTTTGCGTTGCTGAATTCTTCTGCCAATTGTATCGAAGACTCAGATTCAAGCTCTTCTCCCTTGCAATCGTATTTTAGCGAAAATCCTATGAATTTTCTGTCTGTCGAATTAGCTTCCTCTAACGATTCCATCGACCAGTGTGCTTCCAATCATTATACCTCAAACTGTCAAAATGAAACTAGTTCAGATTCATTTGATCCTATTATAAATTCGAAAAATATAAAGATCAAGGAACCATCTTTCGAAAATGTTTTAATCCATGAAGAAATAACTTCTATTAATCGATCAAAACAGTGTGATTTTCTGGACAATGAAATGGATATGGCCATCAAAGAGTCAGTTTCTGAACTTGACAACATGGAAACAGAAGATGGAGTACAAACTAGATTAAAGAACTTAAAGAGGAGTAGAAGTGACACAAAATATAGTTCGGACAATGAAATGGATATGGACATCAAAGAGTCAGTTTCTGAACTTGACAACATGGAAACAGAAAATGGAGAACAAGCTAGATTAGAGAACTTAAAGAGGAGTAGAAGTGACACAAAATATAGCTCGGGCAGACATGTTGCATATTCTGAGCCTAGAGACAGGTGGCAGAAAGAATTATGCAATGACAATGTAGATTCGATTGTAGAAGATGTCGATTTTGTAGAAGACAGTATTGATATTCAGGATGATTGTGGTAAATAATTTCTAATATGTAAAAAAATCTAAATAAAAATTATTTTTTTTTAGTTGCCTCTTTGTATTACAATGACTGAAAATTTTATGGAAGAATTTTGGTTTTTACAGAGAGACCAAAGCACGAGCAATCAAATAAAACGATGACGGAATACGCTGCTGGCAGCATAAAATCTGAAAAAGAAAATATGAAGATAAAGGATAAGATACTGGATAAAGATATAGCAACTTGGACTCTTCGAAAACGGGAGCGCGAAATGGCATTTGCGTTGAGTGACGAAGAAAAAATTGTAGAGAGGGGAACGATTGCTAGGAAGTCACTCCGGCTTGGTCTCAGCGAAGCTAAGGGATTTAACAACGAAAATTTCGGCGAAACTATGCGGGATGAAGAAAAATCACAAAGTGAGAAGGAGCAGTCGCAGGTAATTTGTTTGAATAATATACGCAATGTTGCGAGAAAATCTGTTAGATTGAGAAATAAAAAGAGTAAATGATACAAAAAAATTAACAACATAAATTGAATCACGGGATTCACCGAAGATAAATCAAATTTTATATTTCTTGTTGGACATTAGAAAATGTAAAAATAAGAACTATTAGACTAAGTAATCTTTTGTAGACATATATTCATTTATTGTATATATTTATATACTTGTGTAGTGCCTTTGATATAAAACAGAAATGCATAATATTTATTTTTTAAGGCATAACGAGAATAAAAATTATTAAAAACAATAAAAGTAAATATTATATACCTGTTGTTATTGAATGTCATTCTGCTTTCTTGTTTATATACAGCATATTTTATAATTATATACAGTAATATATTATTATTTGCTTTTTCTAAAAAATTTCAAGACCATTTGACATAACTTTTTAAATATTATAATATTGCAATATTTTAAACAATCTTGATTATATAAATATTTGCATTTTTTATATTAATTACGACTTACTTGATTAAAAAATGTAATAAAATGGAATAAAAAATACACGAATTCGATGCATTTGTAATATTTTTCCGTCTATATATAATACCTTGTTATATCATTCCAATATGCTTGATAGGGAAAAAGACTGAAATCTTTATCAAAGAAACAATTAAATTTATTGAATATATATATATATATATATATATATATATATATATATATAATACTATACCAAACAGGAAAGGGAGGCTAAACGATAAAACGATGGGCGCAATTTTCGTTAAAACTCGCATATCTCGAATGTATATATTCATAGATACTAACAATAATTTAATAAGCTTAACGTAATGTCAAAATATAGCTGCCTGTCTCTAACAATTGGTTACACAGTAAAATATTCGTCTTTGATATTACACAACTTTGATATTAATACAACTTTGGTATCGATTTATACAATTTTACAGTTAACTTTATGTACAAACCGCGCAATTCGCACGATGAACTCGTCTAAGTTCGTAGATTTACAGCGCTAACGTTCTAAAACGGAACGACTATCACATTCATTACATATTGTTCTCGTCTAATTCTTACGTAAACGTTATTGCACTGTTATAGACCGTTAAGTTGTATTTACCGTGTCGACACCTCTCTCTCTCTCTCTCTCCTCGCTCGCGTGCGAGGTGCGTCATTATCGCAGGAACGAAAATTTTTCTGCTACGGCTCGGGAAGCGCGTCGTTGATGTAATAATGTAAATGTAAGTGGTTCGTGTACTTTAATAAGCTTCTGTCTCTCGAAAGACAGACACTCCCGTATTTCATTAATCGTTTAACAGAATGATCAATCATCTCCCTCGCGATCTTCCGACGTTACATGATTAAGGATACACATAAGATTATTAGGAAATACATGTTTTCGGGCATAAAATAGCTCTTTCCTTTAAGTGGAATTCGCGCAATTAATAATAGTTGTCTGTTCCGCTGTGGTATGGCATCACGCGAGGTAGTTACTCGAACGTTGATACATCCCTCAAGTATTGTATACACGCTACAAGCGATTCTAAACTTTTATCCCGTGCACAGTTATCTGCCGATCTTCCCGGGGAAGATCGAAATATTAGATGCGTGAGACATTATATCTTACAAGCAGTAGTCACAATTCATTTATCGTCAGATTCGTCAGCGGCGCATTCACGACTCATTCGTTCCTGGCGCTTACGACAGATTGTCTTTTGATTCGCTAAGAGACTAGAGATAGTACCCTCGAAGAAGTTAGATTATAATACGGCGAATAAGGACTGTCTTCGCCGCAAAAAAGGCCAATTGTCACCTACTACTTATCTTTAAATTTATTACTTTATTTATAAATTTATTCGATCAGTTAAAGGGAAAGTCCTGAAAATAGATTATTTCTTCCGAGTAAGGAAACTCCAGTCGCGAGTTTCCCTTATCACACGCTTCAATTAAGAATGTTAATTATTGTAAATTCTCATCTAATCACACACGAATGGACGAAGTTAAAGCCGAAATGTAAGCTAACTGCCTCACGATAAATTTATTTCACGTGAAATTTATTTTTCGCGCGCGGCGGCACAGGGTGGGTATAATATTAATTAATTTACATTTTTTTTCCTCATATGAATTCGCGGTAATAGACGTCAAGCTCTTTCGACAAAGTTACACTTTTTGGGATAAAAATACGGTATTTACACGATAAACATTCCGCGCAGTAACGCAGCTCTATTTTCGAAGGAATCGGAAGAAGAGTCGCCATTCGGAAAAATATTAAATCTAATTTCAATTGTAGTTTCAAGTTGAACTAATTTACTCTTTTTACTGGTTTTGAACTAGTTTAAGTATATCAGAGGAAAATAAAATTATATTATTACCGTCAAATTCACTTATAAATACTTCCGCTATTTAAATCTTTATCCTTCGTAAAATTCTGTATTTTTTTTTTATTTTTTATTTTTAGACAGGATTGGTGAAATATGCATAATTTATAAAGATATGTAAGATACATACTACAAGCTCCCAGATGAGTTTTATTTTGCACGCTCTCGCGAACATATTTAAAAGAATACCTTTTTACAACTATATACAGCATATATCGCAGTTTCATAAAAAAGATCAGAATCGTTTCCCCGATGGATAATCGATAATTCGCGTCCCGACTGCGAGCCGACCGCGTCTCGTTTTGCAATATCGTTTCTCTCTAATCGTATTTTGATTGATCCTTTTTGATTCTCGAATTCGTTGAAGGAGGAGGAATACTCATTAATCATAAGTGGATAACCACTTTTCGCAAACATCGCCGCGAACTATCAGGAATATTATTAACGAGCGCCGATAATTGGAGATCGAAGAGATTCGAACTTACGGGAGCTGGGCACTCCGATTATCCTATAATTAATGCACAATTTGTCGCGGTCGGCATGTCGAACGTTCTTTTGGGACGAATCGCGTTATAATTACGTTACCGCGATACAGCGGAACTACAATCGTAAATAATATATTGATTCGGATTACGTTTGATCCGGGATTGATTGATTCGCGCGCGAAATCGGAACCGTGAGAATTCGGAAGTCTCGACGCCACTCCCCACCCCTCCGCTCTCCCGGGACAACATCTTAATCTCACATCTTCGGCGGTTTAGTTTTCCCTTCGGAGAACTTCCCGCACGAACGAGTGACTATCTCCGGACGTTCGTTCGGGATATTATCTGGATGGCATCTGCAAATATTTCTCGACGGCAGTCTTTTGTAATCGATCGGGTCGGAGACGACCCCCTTTTTGCGATCGGAGGCGTCCACGCTGTCTTTCACAGAGCGAGATTATCGTGCGCGAAGACGCTGGCTTCTTCGTGGGCGTCGTTGACAGTGGCGGGTTTTTAACTCTTCCTTCCGACGTCGAGGATCCGCCGATTCATGACACCTCTTATTGTACTTTCTTCTTTTATAATTTCTATTTACAATTACTGCTTTTCTATTACGTTCTACCGTCCCTTTATTATCCAAAGCTCAATGAACGTTTTTGTCGAGAAAGATCAGCGTCTTCTTCTGGCTAAACTTTCTTTACGCTAAGAAGTCTGAACTAAATTCGCTGATAAGGAACAATATCGATCGGACCGTCTCTCTTTCTCTTTTGGTTTTTTTTCTATTTCGATCACGCATCGGACTAGTGTCACGTTACATTATTCCGTTTCGATCGTCTCATCACCGTGATGCCTATCGAGCCGCGGATCTTGCGCAACAGATCTATTATATCAGCCGTTGACATGTGTTCCACACTCTCCTCGTTAACCTGGGGAAAAGACGAGACGACATTTAGTTTTGAAATAAAACAGCCTCAAGAAAGAAGAACCTCGTCCATATTAATCTTTAATCTCTACTTAAAGTTACGTGTTTTAAAAATATTATTTATTAAGAATATAAATATCGCCTCTCAAGTTTATGATCAAAGTTGTAAGTCACAGATAATTAATACTATTTTGTCGCCAATAGATATTTAGTTCAGCAATGATCTCGCGAATATATTCTCTCTACTCGGAGGAAGAATTAGGGAGAAGTGGAGGGTATAGGTTTGACATACAATTTGACTCACCATTAGTAACACGTCGCCCTGCTTGAGCCTGCCATCCTTGGCCGCGACACTGTCACGATGCACGACCGATATCACCGTACGATTTCCTTCCGACTGCAAACTAAAGCCCAGCCGGCTGTTCCACCCACGCGTCAGCTCCACCATGAACACCTGCAACAACGGGAGCGATACATTGCGCAACATTGCGACGCGACGTTCTTGCGCTCGATAATCGCATTTTCCAATGTTAGAGGATCGACAAGGCAAACAACAACGACATAAACAGCAAGGCATTTGTTAGATATTAAATTGATTTTTCGCGTTTCAATTCAGGAATTCGCCGTGAGAATCATTTATCGCGAAATTGGGATCCCGTAAGATCATATAAGATCCAATCCGGTCGGAATGACTATATACGCTCGATTACGGAAACGTGGATTTCGGGAGACCAACCTCACTGCCTTGTTCAAGATCCTCGATAGGAGCGACCGAGTCCGTGGTGTCTCTCCCGGCCTCTTCCTGGTCGCGCTCGGTATCTTGATCCACCTCGTCGTTTGGTGCGAACATCACGCCCTTCCACTTCAACAGGCCCTTGCTACCGCCCGGATCGTCCGTTCCCAGGATCTTTCCTACGCGACGCGACAAAAAAAGACCGGGTTCATCGGGTTAGAAGTAACGCCAATTGACACCCGCGGATGTTTCGTTACTTTCGCAACGATGTGCGACCGTTATCTTATCGGTCTCTCCCTCTAACGCCCTGATTTAGTTTCCACGATAGTGGCGCAAAATAGACGGCGTGTATATTCGCGCGATTACAGTTGATTCCGACAGCAATTGCAGAGTTCATTTTGTGTTAATCGTTTCGAAAAGTGAAGGCTTAATAGCTTACAAGCTTGTTATAATAAGATTTAGTATAACACATAATGTATACTATGGATTTAAGACGATTTAGAAAGTAAGCTGTTTTATATATTGTTTATAAGTTTATAAATTATAAATAGATAAGGCAACTTAAGTAATCATATTAATTATATATTGCGAACTCGACTAAGATTCTTATAATATAAACTATATAAAGCATTAAACACAAAGATTGCACGAGCACCAAGACGGCTGATTCAAATATTGAGTATAAGAGGCAAGCGAGTCAACAAGACGCACCATTAATCAATCAAGGTTTGATCCCATTAATCTAGCCTCTCGGACGGGCAAAACGAGCGGTAAAACAAGCGCAGCATGAAATAATTACCCGGGATGTCCTGATCGCTCGAGTGTGTGGCCTTGCTCTTGGTTCCAGCCGGATCGCTGCCGGCGCCGCCGCAGGCCGGATTGGCGCTCTGGTAAGCTGGATTTTTGTAACTGAAGGCGGCGGTGCTGGTGCTGCTGGTGGACGAGAGCACCGGCGGCATCGAGGCCGGCTCGGTCGGCAGATCGTTGTCGTGCTCGTCGCTCGACAGCACCGTCACGCTCCTGTCGTCGTCGTAGCTGGGCTCGGCCAGCCGACCGCGCTCCGCCTCGGCGAGGATCACGTCGCCGTCCGCGGGATACTCGCTGTCCGAGTCGACGCTGCAAAACTGGAAATGCGGCTTACCCTGCGGCGCCGTCAGATCGAGAAAGCGCGGCCTGGCCGCGGCATTGTTCAACGCCGTCCTCGACTCGTCGTCGTCGTCGCAGACGACGTAGAGCGCCGGCGGATCGATTATGTCGGTCGCAGGTGTGTTCGCCTGGGAATTGGTGACTTGCGTCCTGACGGAGCACTGGTCCGAGTCTGACGTGGTCTCCGCTTGGCTGGCCGTCGACGACGTCGTTTGCACGCTGTGCAACTTGCTCTCGGGGGTATCTACGGCACGGAGAGAGAACACTTGTCATGAAGAGATTTTGTCACGACGACACTCGCCGTGAGGTCCTATCATCGAGGATTGCCCAAATCCCTCGCGACTCGAGATAATTCCGAGAGACAGCTCGACGCTGAATGTTCCGTCGTCGCTTTTAATGTTTCCGAAAGCTCTTAAAGTAACAACTGATGTCCTATTATCCTTTCGTATAGAGTTTCAAAATATAAGTACCTCACAGTCTTACAGATTATAATTATTTCCGGATATTTGAACAAATATATAGAAAATTGATAAGTTATCGATATTTGTCGTCGATTGCTTTTAATTGTTTTTTTTAATTTAAGCATCCTACACGTAGTTCTCTTAGCTTTACCAACCCATTTGCTTATTAATTCTGTTTTGGCCTGTGCACGCTGCTCATTAATTATTTTACCTCGATCGGTTTCGGCAGTGGGAGTACGCGTGGCGGGTCGACGTAGTCTTCGGGGGGAATTGCATGACGCACCAGGTGATTGTTGCTTGCAGCTACTAGACCCACTCGATGCACCGGGTGATAATTTCCGGACCGCCAAGTCACACAGCATATCCACAGCTTCTTGTCTATTGGGAAATAATATGGAACATAAAGAGCTAGAGCTCGTGAAAGGCCATGTTGTATTTTAGTCGGAAATGATCGTGTTAGCGAGCGACTTATAATATAAAATGTAAGCGTCCGCGATCCTTTTATTTCCTGTTGGCATGAAAGAATAAAGTGATTCTATATATGCGACTCAGTTATACGTTACTGAAGAAACGGATTGCACATGATATAAAAGCATAAAGGAATATCCACGAGAGATAGAATCGAAATCATATTTGCTATCAAATATTCTTTTATAGGTCAACGGATAAATAGGATCAGAGAAAGAGGTAACAAAACTGAGATTTGTATACGTTTCTCTTAATACTTATGCCGTTTAAAATTATTACTATAATATATTTCATCTGCCTGTAGATGGTCTGACTTTATCGATTTTCCTTTCATCGCACGTCTCTTACTCCAATATTAATACCCGTATTTTAATAGTGCTTTTTATTTCAAATTATGAAATACTTTAAGAAGTATCAAATGAAGGGCAAGTGAGCCTTGCACGAAATTAGTGCTAAAATTACATATATTTAAACAATAATCATTATCACCCAAACGTTTCGGCTCCGCATTTGATACTTCTTAATTTTTAATTATATGAGCCAGAGTAATATATTATATTTTTGAAATACTTTAATTTTTTAATTTCAGACTACACCATATTGCAAATGTAATTA